AATTTTCTCCACTCCCCTCCCCTGTAACTTTCTCCTCCCCCCCCTCCCTGTAACTTTCTCCTCCTCCCCCCCTCCCTGTGGCTTTCTCCACTACCCCCAATCATCTGCCACCGTAACCTTCTCCTCCCCCACTCCTGTAACTTTCTCCACTCCCCCTGTAACTTTCTCCACTCCCCCCCTCCTGTAACTTTCTCCACTCCCCGTGGCTTTCTCCACTCCCCCTCCTGTAACTCTCCACTCCCCCCAATCATCTTCTCCCCTGTGGCTTTCTCCTCCCCCCAATCATCTTCTCCCCTGTAACTTTCTCCACACTCCCCCAATCATCTTCTCTCCCCCCCTGTAACTTTCTCCACTCCCCCATCCCCTATAATCTTCTCTCCCCCCCCCAATCATCATCTCCTCACCTCCCCTGCCCTGCTGTAGCGTGGCCGAGCTCGTCTCCGGTCCGCGACCAGGCGGGACTGACAGGAAGTGCACACTTACTTAGTGTGCACTTCCTGTCAGTCCGGCCGGGTCGCGGACCAGAAAGGAGCTCGGCCACGCTACAGGGAAGGGGAGGTGAGGCAGGGCGGCAGCCGTCTGAGCACTCTCTACAGAGCGCTTAGATGGCTGCAGCATTTAAAGGGCCGGCGATGGGGGCGCAGGGCGCCCCCTCCTATATGGCGCCCTAGGAGGCTGCCTAGTTCGCCTTATAGGAAGCGCCGGCCCTGGGAGTGGGGTTTGTGTATATATTGTGACACTGCAGTCTCACTGGAAAATTCTCTGCCATTTAGTAATTAAATCACTTTGTTTATGCAGCCATAGACTCACCAACCCTGCCTTTGACTAACACAACCTTCCTGTAAAAGAAGTCTACCTTTTTTTAAAATCTTCCCTTATTGCACAGTGTTTCATCTAGTTCTCCTGCTCCGTTAATTTAATGCTAAAGCATGCAGGAACATCCTGTTTGTAGTTAAAATTAAAATACCAGGTTCAAAACTTCTAAAGTAAACATATTGTGCTGTGAGATCTGATTGAACATGAAATGTTTTTTTTTTCATGGACTCCTAAATGTGAGAAAAGAGCAGTGAGGCTGCAGTGTCATGATCTATACGCCAAAACTGCTTCATTCAGCCAAGATAGCTTTTGCAGCTTACAGTATCTCTTAGGGATGTGCATGGGTAAAAATTCGGTTCGGCACTTCCGAAATTCGGGACTTCGGCAATTTGGCACTTCCGAAATTCGGGAATTCGCATTTCGGCACTTCTGTATGTTAATCCGAAATTCGTGACTTCGGCAATCCCCTACCCCTAATCCTAACCCTACCCGTACCCCTAACACAAGCCTAACTCTACCCCTAACCTAAACCCTAGCCAACAACCCTATCCATACCCCGAAACCCAGTAGGTATACGGTTTCCTGTCATCATTCCCTTAATTTGCCACTTTTCAGAAATCCGAAGCACTTCCAAAATTCGTCAATTCGGTTCGGCATTTCGGCAACTCAGTTTGGCACTTCCGAAATTCAGCACTTCAGCAATTCGGACATTTGGAATCATCCGAAGGTCCGAATTGCCGTAATTCGTCCGGATTTAAATTCGGACCAAAACTAATTGCACATGTCTAGTATCTCTTTAAACATATTTGCCATTCTATGATATGGACCAGGGGTGACCGAAAAGTAGATCACCAGATGATGTAGAATTACAACGCCCATGATGCTTTTGCATGCCTTTAGAATGGCAAACATGGAAGCTGTGATTTTCAAATATCTGGGGATCTACTCTTCGGGCATCCCTGATATAGACATAGTCATCATACGGGAGCGAGTAATTAATCTGCACAGATTAGTAAAATTAATGTGGAGTATGAAGCATTGTTGCAGAAAAAAGAGAATCTTATGGTGCACAAAGTGTCCCTTCCTAATGTTCCTATGAGGAAATGCTCTCTGACTGGCTTTGGTGGGATTTGAACCACTTTCCCACTTTCTACTGCTGCTCACTGCTTGTTGTGCCACTGTGGAATCTACTATCCTGGGGTAATTCCAGAGGATATTCCATTTGATTCTGGCCTACCTGATATATTTTGATTGCCTGTTTTTGTAGGGTACTGAAGTAATTTGAGTGAATTACTCTGCAGGGCTATAACCACTCACCAGTGGGTAGTGTGTAGTGGGCAAGTGGATGAAATTTAGAGCCATTTGCTAGTAAGTCTGAAGATTAGACATGTGGATTGTTAGCCTAGGAATATGGAAGATCAGATACATTTCTGCTGTCTCCTAAGAACAGCAACAGCCAGGAAACAAAAAAAAAAAAGATAAAACCGCAAAAGCATACTAAAAATTATCTTTAGAAGTCACAGGACTTTCTGTTTGCTCACTTACAAAAATCAGTTGAAGGGTCAGCTAAAGTTAAATATTCACCTAAAGTTAAGCCACTGACAAATATAGTGTGATGGAGATAGCAGATCCATCGATGCAAGTTGCTCTCAATGGCATTCATTCACTGAAGAAATTGTAGTTGGAAAAAACTGGGTTTTTTTTGTCATTTGCATCTATGCACACCCTCACAAAATGTACATTCACACACAGCAACATACTCCCTTCACCGTGTCTTATATCCACAAACCCCATCATAACCACCATCCAATCAAATAAGTCACATTTAACCATCGAATCAAATAACCAGTCCCCTACCTTCACCAAATCACGTACTGTCAGGACTGACATGACCCTAACACACAAACCGAGGTTGAAACTAGGTAGGTATGTGTACCGGTCCTTAGAGTAGCCGAGCTAGCTCTGAGAAATAAGTCAGAATGTGTTCAAACACTGAATAAACGTCAACAAGCTGAGCTCAGAAATAACAGATACACAGAATCGAGAAACAAGACAAAGTCAGGGTTACAAAAAGCAAGAAAGGTCAAACAAGCCAAGTTCAGACAATGGAATAAGTATAACAATAGAACGCATTCTCAGGTATACAGAAAAAATGACAGGGCACGAAGCTTGGAACAACCAGAAAGTTGTTATATTGTATCACAATTACATACTCCTACCCACACAACCATTCACCCATCTATTCTCATGCCTCAATCAGTTGTGCATGGAAAACGGAGAGATACGTTTAGCTGTACATGGAGAATAGAGAGGTACATTCAGTTGTACATGGAGAATAGAGAGGTTCATTCAGTTGTACATGGAGAACAGAGAGATCCGTTCAGTTGTACGTGGAGAACATAGAGGTTCGTTCAGTTGTAGATGGAGAATAGAAAGGTCTGTTCAGTTGTACATGGAGAATAGAGAGGTCTGTGCAGTTTTATATGGAGATTAGAGAGGTCTGTTCAGTTGTATATGGAGAATAGAGAGGTCTGTTTAGTTCTACGTGGAGAATAGAAAGGTCCATTCAGTTGTATATGGAGAACAGAGAGGTTCTTTCAGTTGTACATGGAGAATAGAGAGGTCCATTCAGTTGTACATAGAGAACAGAGAGGTTCGTTCAGTTGTAAATGGAGAATAGAGAGGTCCATTCAGTTGTATATAGAGAATAGAGAGGTCTGTTCAGTTCTACGTGGAGAACAGAGAGGTTCGTTCAGTTGTAGATGGAGAACAGAGAGGTCTGTTCAGTTGTACATGGAGAATAGAGAGGTCTGTTCAATTGTATATGGAGATTAGAGAGGTCTATTCAGTTGTATATGGAGAACAGAGAGTTTTGTTCAGTTGTATATGGAGAACAGAGAGGTCCGTTCAGTTGTATATAGTGAAAAGAGAGGTCCGTTCAGTTGTACATGGAGAACAAACAGGTCCATTCAGTTGTATATGGAGGGTTTATTGCCTAAACAATAATTTGTTACAAATATTTGTCAAAAATAGCAGAGTTGGTACCCCTCCCCCCCACCCCCCACAAATGAAGAAATCTGGACTAAATTATTGTAACGTCTGTGAACAACACACCTAGCTAATGAGTCCTGAAA